TATATATATATATATATATATATATATATTAAAGAAGATGGATCTTTTTACTCTAAGAGTTACATAGACTTACTCCGTTCAATAACTCATTTTCTCTATGAAATTTCAATTATCTAACCGTTCAATTTAAAGTTCTTAATGCATAGATCAAATATGTAAATTGTTAGAAAATTTAAAAATCATTTGATACTTCGTTTCATTAATTTTAATCAATGTATAAAATGATTCTATGATTATCCGTCAATTTGAATTAATGAAATGAAGTATCAAATGATTTTTAAATTTTTTACAAATTTGTAAATTTGATCTATGCATTAAAATTTTTAAATTGAACAGTTTGATCGTTAATAATAATTAAAAATTATTTATTTATTTAGGTTATCACATACCATTATACATTTCATGTCTTTAAATCTTTTAATAAAAAGTTAAATTAATAACTAAAAATTATTTATTTATTTCTTAAGAATTGAGGGTATATAATTATCCATTATTTTGGAGACAAAAATTAGTTACAAGATGACGTATATATATTTCCCTTTATCTATTACTATATACATATAATCAAACAACTATATGTTTAACTATTTTTCTTCCATTCATTTTCTCAGTCTCTCTGTCTCTGTCTCTATATATATATATAGACAAACAGGTTATACTAACAGTAATACCGGGTGTAACTTTTATTAAGTATTACACACCACTCGATAATTAATTATTATATTATGAATAATAATAATATATATATTTAATTCATCTTTAAAAATAATTGAAGTTAAAAGGAAAAGAAATTTGATTAAATTAATATATTTTAAAAAATTAAAGACTCAATTGAGTATTTTCAAAATAAATTTAATATTTAAATAAGAAAATTAATTATTGAATCTTTTAAAAATAAGATAATCAAATTTAACTTAAAAAATATTAAATAAATTATATGAATTATTATATAATATAAGAAATATTTATAATTAATATAAATAGAAATATAAATTATTAATTGTTATATTAGTTTTTATTTGTTAAAAAAATTCAATCTTTAATTTGTTTCTTACGTTTAATAAAGTAAAACTGAATTCATCTTTTCTTTATGTTTTCCATTAAATATGGTACACAAAAGTTAAAGCTATTCATTATTCTAAATTATATTTTAATTAAAAATAATTTTTTAGTAAATAAAAAGTATTATAATAAATAATTAAACTAAAATAAATAAATTTTATAATGATTATTTTTTTTAATGATGTTAAATTAAATATTTTAATTATTTTATAATAAATAAAAATGAAAAGATAATAAAAATATGTTTTATCTATGGAATTTATCTACGGAATTTTTTCCATAAATAATTTCCAGTTATCTACGGAAATATCCGTAGATAATTTCCAGTTATCTACGGAAATATTCGTAGATAAGTTATCTACAGAAATTTTCGTAGATAAGTTATCTACGAAAATTTCCGTAGATAAGTTATCTACAAAAATTTTCGTAGATAACTTATCTACGGATATTTCCGTAGATAACTGGAAGTTATCTACGGAAAAAATTCCGTAGATAATATTCTGTAGAAAATTAAATATTATTTATGGAAAATATTCCGTAGATAATATTCCGTAGATAATTAAATGTTATCTACGGAAAAATTTCCGTAGATAATAACAGTTTTTCTTGTAGTGTATGATCATCGCACTCCCACCACATGGAAACAGAAGGGTAAGTTAGAGTTTAAAATTCAATCATACAAGTATAGAACAATAATCTATACTACACAATCATCCAACTATCAATCATATTCATAGAGTCACACCATACACTTTATCTAATACTACACATGCATAAAATACAATCCACCAATCATGAAGTCAAACACCACACTTCATCAAATTAATAATCAAGCAATAAATGCATTTCATGACAGATACCAATGCATATCAATCATCTAATGCGTCGTCACACATACACCTAGGAGATTTCCCTAACAATAGAGTTGTATAAGTGACATTCCATCCTACCGAAACCACCCCAACCGTTTTCACACCCAATGCGCCCGCTCGGTCACTGCTAAATAGGATATAATCCTCACTCGGGTTTACTCGGATGATGTTACTTACACAATTGGATGTCCAGATACACCGTGAGGTATAGCACAGTTGGGTACGGGCTTACCACGACCTTGACATGCATAACCAAGTCAATTGTGGAGTTCGCCCACCGACTATTTGCAAGGATCCCCGCACCTTCTCGAGTACTTGGTTAAGGGAATGACCATCGACCTCATACCCCGCTCCAAAACTAGCTAAGGACTTAGAGGAGACTCACCCAACCCAGTGGCCTACCTGAGCACCACTCCCAAATCCAGTGGCCTAGTGCCGATCAAGCACAGATAAAACCGTTACCAAAATGGTAACTCTAACACAAGGATCAAACTCCCCGTCTCGCAGCGGTCACCTCAACTCCAAGCTAGCCCTAACCTGCTCCCATACCAAGTATGATCATCGCAGTCCCACAACATGGAAACAGAAGGGTAAGCTAGAGTTCAAAATTTAATCATACAAGTAAAGAAAAATAATCTTTACTACACAATCATCCAACTATCAATCATATTCATAGAGTCACACCATACACTCTATCCAATACTACTCATGCATAAAATACAATCCACCAATCATGAAGTCAAACACCACACTTCATCATATTAATAATCATGCAATAAATGCATTTCATGACAGATACCAATGCATATCAATCATCTAATGCATCGTCACGCATACACCTAGGAGATCTCCCTAATAATAGAGTTGTATAAGTGGCATTCCATGCTACCGAAACCACCCCAACCGATTTCACGCCCGATGCGCCCACTCGGTCATAGCTAAACAGGATATAATCCTCGCTCGGGTTTACTCGAATGATGTTACTTACACAATTGGAGTCCAAATCCACCGTCAGGAATAGCACAGCTGGGTACGGGCTTACCACGACCTTGACATGCATAACCAAGTCAATTGTGGAGTTCGCCCACCGACTATCCGCAAGGATCCACGCACCTTCCCGAGTACTTGGTTAAGGAAATAACACTCGACCTCATACCCTGCTCCAACACTAGCTAAGGACTTAGAGGAGACTCACCCAACCCAGTGGCCTACCTGAGCACCACTCTCAAATCCAGTGACCTAGTGCCGATCAAGCACAGACAAAATCGTTACCAAAATGGTAACTCTAACACGAGGATCAAGCTCCCTGTCTCGCAACGGTCACCTCAACTCCAAGCTAGCCCTGACCTACTCCCACACCAAGTATGATCACCGCAGTCCCACCATATGGAAACAGAAGGGTAAGCTAGAGTTCAAAATTCAATCATACAAGTATACAAAAAAATCTATACTACACAATCATCCAACTATCAATCATATTCATAGAGTCACACCATACACTCTATCCAATACTACGCATGCATAAAATACAATCCACCAATCATGAAGTCAAACACCACACTTCATCATATTAATAATCATGCAATAAATGTATTTCATGATAGATACTAATGCATATCAATCATCTAATGCGTCGTCACGCATACACCTAGGAGATCTCCCTAATAATAGAGTTGTATAAGTGGCATTCCATCCTACCGAAACCACCCCAACCGTTTTCACGCCCAATGCGCCCGCTCGGTCACAGCTAAACAGGATATAATCCTCACTCGGGTTTACTCGGATGATGTCACTTACACAATTGGAAGTCCAGATCCACCGTCAGGTATAGCACAGCTGGGTACGGGCTTACCACGACCTTGGCATGCATAACCAAGTCAATTGTGGAGTTCGCCCACCGACTATCCGCAAGGATCCACGCACCTTCCCGAGTACTTGGTTAAGGGAATAACCCTCGACCTCATACCCCGCTCCAACACTAGCTAAGGACTTAGAGGAGACTCACCCAACCCAGTGGCCTATCTGAGCACCACTCTCCCAAATCCAGTGGCCTCCCTGAGCACCACTCTCATATATCAGTGGCCTATCCAAGCACCACTCTCAAGAGACTCTATGTGAGCTCTTCCAGTTCGAAAATATTTTTCCTCTCCTCAAGTCCTAGGCTAGACTCATGCCATAAGGCATCACATGCAATTATGCATCATACATCATACATGGTCTGCCCAC